TACCACAAATGATTCTTTCACCTCCATATAGGAACCACAAACAGCCTGGGAGCACACACACATGCACACACAAATGTCCATGAGCAAAATAAAGGCAAACAATATTATTTACTAAATGGATGTGTGACTGTGAAGCTGACCTTGGCAGAGGCTGGCCACTAGAGGAGACCCATCACAACAGTGGAGAGAACAGGGGCTGTGGACTCTAAAAGCAGCAGAATTTCAGTGTGTTTTATTGAAACAAATGTGATCTAACAGGGAGAGGGTCCATGCAGATCCTAAGATGATTGTAGGAACTAGGGACCCTGGAAGCAGCCTCAGTAAACTGAGTCTTCAAAGCACATGTGTTTTAAGAATGCAGGTCACACCCAAAGCTCCTGCATTTGCCCATCTCTCCTGTGACATCCTACTGTAACCTTCTCATAGAAGCCATCTGGCTTCTCTTGTTACAGCTCTCTGCCCAGGTGAGTGGACAGGGTCCCGGTATCCCAGATGAGCTCCAGAATTCATGCTTTGCTTTTCTAGAAGGTCAAAGATAGAACAGAAACAGCACAGGTGACTTTACCCTGATTCCTGGCCATTGGCTCCTATCATTTTCCCCTATTCACTTTTCCTACAATAAGAACTTTGATCAACCACAGGTTCCACACCTACATATTTTGGTTTAAATTCCTGCCTGAGTAAGATTTACACATTTTGCTTCCTGTTTGTGGAACGTGTTCCTCCTAGCAGTACAGACTCAGGCCTGAGAGCCAACCATGCCACGGAACCAACTGCATAGCTGGCTGAATGCTGTGTTCTTTGGGCTCCTGCTTCTCGTCCATGCGCAGGGTGAGGCTCAATACACTAGCAATGGGGAATGACTGAAGTTGAAGCTGCCAAGTTCTGCGGGTCAGAGCTGAGCTTGTGGGAGGGAAGGCATGGAGGGCAGTCGATGATGGAAATGATGCATAGTGATTCTCAACCTGTGGGTCACGACCATTGAAATCCCATGTTTCTGATGGTATTAGAACCACCCAGACATATATTTATTTTTGTTACAACTTCCTAATTTAATGTTGCTCTTGAGTGGTTTCTCAGCTCCTAAGAGGATCAGAAATATGTGTTTCCCAATGGTCATGACTCACAGGTTGCTGACTGGTACAATAGATAAAAGTATGAGAAAAGTTCCAACCAATTCCCGACAAAAGCACACACATTTCCTGGACCCACTAGCACCTAGAGGGTCAGAGACATGTTCGATTCCTCTATATTGAAGAGACAGTTTAGTATTAGGAGCTCTGGAGACAATAAAAGACAATTCAAGGAAAAATGTGGAGGTATTTTTCCCTCCTCAGTGTTTGGCTAAGACTGCAGCTACTACTGAACTTTGGATAACTGTGTCAATCATCCTGATTTCATGTGGCCAAATCGCTCTGAGTCTGTGACCTCTTTGACCAGATAAATATTCTGGTACCCTTCAAAGGGGTAATAGGAAGGGTTCCTGGGCCTAAGGGTTAGGGTAACTTTCACATTTATACCCCATAGGTGAACTGGGGGAGGGGGAGCTGGGTTTCCTTCTCCTGTGCTCTGATAACAATGAGATGAGAATCTCACAATCTGCTGGCAGCTAATTACAGAAAACTTACCGAGATGGCATCTCTCCACCAGGTCAGGACTCACTAGAGGCCAGCCCCATCAGAAACACACACACTAGCCAGGTCCGAGGCAGGCTCGTCCATGTGAAGGTCACTAAAGCTGGTGTCCACACCTTTCTGGGAATTCCCTTTGCCAAGCCTCCTGTAGGACCTCTGCACTTTGCACCTCCTAAGGACCCTGAGCCATAGAATGGAGTGAGAGATGGAACCTCACAACCAGCCATGTACGTTCTGGGACCCAGAGGGTTTCAGATACTGGGGAGACTGTACTCTAAGCTCTGGCCCATCCTAAAGTGTCTCATCCATCTCAGCTACACAGCAGGTTTCTCTCTTTAAGGATGAGTGCCCCATGCATTTTTCTGGTGATGAGCTAAGGCTGAGTAGAACAACTGGGCCAGGCTTCTAGGTCAGAGCTTGGCAGAGTTTGGCACTCACAGAGATATAGATGCATGTACTATTTTTCAATTAATTTATTTATTAACATTACCTCTTAATCCCAGTTCCCTCTCTCCTCCAAACCCTCCCTTATATAGCCTCGCTTTATCCCCCTCCCCTTCACCTATAAAAAGGGGGAGGTCCCTTACAGTAAAGCAGTGCACCCTGGCACCTCATGTCACTGCAGGACTATGTATATCCTCTCTCATTGAGGCCAGACAAGCTGGCTCAGTTAGGGGAGTAGGATCCAGATGCAGGCAATGAAATCAGGGTAAGCCCCTGCTTTCATTGCTGGGGACCCACATGAAGACCAAGGTGCACATCTGCTACACATGTGCAGGGGGCCTAGGTCCAGCCCCTCTGTGCTCTTTGGTTGGTAGCTCAGTGTCTAATAGTCTCCATGAATCCAGGTTAGTTTGTATTGTTGGTCTTCTTGTGGAGTCCCCATCCCCTCTGGGTTCCTCAATTCTTCCCCCAACTCTTCCACAAGACTTCCCAAGCTCCATCTAATGTTTGGCTGTGGGTCTTTGCATCTGTTTTGGTCAGCTGCTGGGTGAAGACTCTCAGAGGACAGTTACGTTAGATTCCTGTCTGTGAATCTAAGCTGACAGAAACAAACGTAGTCTGAAGCTCTAAGGTAATTGGAGGAAGGCAGGCCTGCAGTGTGTCTGAATAGATCTTCTGAGAACAGCCCAGATCATTACTCCCTAAATTGGTTGGCAGGGATTGCTACTAGATTCATTTATGTCTGTCTCAAAAAGGACATCTGTGTATCTAGGCCAGCAGTGACAACTATAGATGTCAACAGTGTCTTCACATGTTGTTTCATTGTGACAAGTCTTTGACCAACACAGAGGCATCAAAGTCTCACAGTGTGTCCCTGTGAATCCACTACCTCTGCAGACACTGTTTGTTGTTTCTACTATCCACACATAGACCTCCATGGAGATATGGCTGAGTGGCACATTCATCAAAGTTGAGTTCACAGTGATCTCCCAGGAATCCATGTGCACAGTCACAGAAGTAAGCCCCAAGAGCATCTTGACATGGGGCACAGTGTAGACATGGCTGGGATCCACAGTCATGAATTTCCAACTCAATTTATACCAGAGTACTCTTGGGGACAGACACATGTATCTTTCTATATATTGAGGTATACAGCACCATTCATGCAGTGATAAGAAACACATTTATGTACGTTCAAGTCACAATGCCTGCCTTGATATCCACATGCACAGAAGCAGGAAGAGCTATTGATTCCCTCCTGGCACACAACCCCATGGTGGCAAGGTCTGGAAGCACTCTCATTCTGCTGTGTCTCACAAAAACCTTCCAGCATATCCAGCAGGGGAGATGCAGACGTGCTGCTCAGAGTTTATGTGCCAGGTGCCTCCGTGTTGGTACACACTCCTGCCATAGGCATTAGTTGCGGTCTCCAAGGTCAGCCCACTCTACCTAGGATGCTATTGAACTGCAGGCACCATTGAGAAGAACAAAGATAAAATTGTTCTCTGATTCAAATTAAGTCCAGTGTCCTCTGCCTCAGTAGGAGGGATCTCCAGGCATGAGTTAATGTGACCTATTAGGCACTGGTCATCCCTGAATCCAAGAGAATACACTTCAGGTCTCTGAGGAATGCAACAGTGATCAATACTTGCTAACTTCACCTTCACGGTCACTGTGACAATCTATAGGGTCATGTGCCATTGACCAGGGAACAAGTGTATGTAATTAATTCCCTCTGGAGACACTGCAGGCAAGAGAAGCTGCCCGAGAGTCTGTGCATGTGATGAAGGACCACTCACTACCCCTTAGGGCAGCTTTGCCCACTGAATCCTCTAGTACCTGAGTGAGTCCAACACTCCAATATGGGGATCTTAGATTGTTTTCTGCTGCTGTAATAAAACACTGACAAAAGCATCTTAGGGAAGAAAGGTACTATTAGATGGTCCAGATTACAATCCATCCTTTGAGTAAACACAGTGAATCAAAACTACAGGAGCTGCTCACATCACAGCCATGCCCAGGAACAGAGACTAGAGAATGCCTGCGTGCCTGCTAATGCTTAGCTTGATTTTCTGTTCTTATACAATCCCAGGAATGTCACTACAGACAGCCAATCATTTCCATATGGACACCTAGATGTTTCTCTATCCCAGACTCAGAAAGATAAAACCCAGGCTCCATACGACTCGTGGCCTCCCTAAAACTCTGTCTCCAAGACAGTTTTCACAGGCCCCGTGGCTGAGAGAATATCTCCACACTCTCATTGGGTTTTGATCACCATCTGTGTCTTGGAGTATCTGTCTGCTCTTTTCGTCAGGTGTCTGCAAAATCTTGAACTACTGTATCCAGAGGGACTGAAGAAGATGAAACTCAACCTGTTTCCCTTCTCTATGTCTGAGGACTGCCTGTACCTCAATGTATACACACCAGCCCACATCCAGGAGGGCTCTAACCTACCAGTGAGTATCAGGCCATGTCCAGCTTGGGGAGAGGGTATTTCTGTCAAAATGATAAGAAGGGACAAACCTGAGTCCCATTGCAGGGTGGACCCTGATGAAAGTCTTAGATTACTGGGGTCAAAGGCCATCTCAGCTACACGATGCAGCTGAAACCTGGGTATGGGACTCAGAGCACTGGAGCACTAAGCCATCAAACTTCCAGCTCTTTGATACAACCAGAACTCATTCTACAACTTGTGCTCTGACAAACCACGTAAGGGCTCAAAACCTCAACACTGAGGTCACCCAAACGTATACTTTTGGATTATCTGTTGTGACAATGAGAGTTGATCATCCTTTCCATTTTTAATCTGGAGAGATATCCATGGAGACCCATCTCTTTATTCCACTGTAAAGACCCCAAGAAATGATGACATCACTCTATACAGAGAGGCATTAATTCAAAGTGCAACACATGGTGGGAATGGGCACTAGTAGCTACTAGAGGCCCCTGGCTCTGGCCAAGGACCTGAAATCCTTAGGAGTTTTATGTATTTCTGTAGCTGCACAGAATCACAGCAGTGGGTATTCTAGTAAACAGACCAGAGAGCTTGGACAAGCTAGGAGTTTCCTGGTACCTCTCTTGACTTCTCCAGGTGATGGTATGGATCCACGGTGGTGGACTGATTGCAGGCATGGCTTCCATGTATGATGGGTCCACACAGGCAGCTACTGAAGATGTGGTTGTGGTCATTATCCAGTATTGTCTGGGTGTCTTGGGCTTCTTCAGATGAGTTTGTTGCTGGGCTGGGCAATGGTTGCTGATCACAACCTAGGCATCTCTTTGATCCATAACCCTTCCAATTCTCAGCACTGGAGACCAGCATGCAAGAGGCAACTGGGGACACCTGGACCAAGTAGTTACCCTACGCTGGGTCCAGCAGAACCTTGCCCACTTTGGTGGCAACCCTATCTGTGTCACTATTTTTGGCGAGTCTTCAGGTGGCACAGGTGTGTCTTCACATGTTTTGTCCCCCATGTCCCAAGGGCTCTTCCATGGAGCCATCATGGAGAGTGGAGTTGCACTGCTGCCTTACCTTATCTCCAACACCTCTGAGATGGTCTATACTGTAAGTGCTCTCAACCTTGCTGCCTAAGCCTTTATATTCTGATACTCTGGTGTGGATTCATTGGGGAAATCAAGGACCATGGAAAACAGTCTCTTTCCAATAATTTCAGAGGAACTCAGGATTTAGCACCTACTCACCTCTACTTCATACTGAGTGACTATGTTATCTGACCAGAAAACTAGTCCTTGATGCTTTAATCCTTGGCAAAGTAAGTCAGCGTGTGCTTGGAAGCTACTTCATTGATGTTTAAAAGTGCTGGGCGTGCACGCCTGAGGACAGGCTGGTCAGGTGGTAGCCAGAGACTAGAGAGTCTCTGGATGTTCACAGACCAGCTTAGGTAGTCTAGGTAGCGAAAAAGAAAAGACACCCTATTAAATAAAGGGGCAGGGAGACTGATATTTTGTCCTGTAATCTTCATGTACAAACCTTGACAGACTTACTCCTTCCCTCATATATAAATTAGAAAAGTTCGATGGAGAAAACAAAGCTACTCTAAACAAAAAGAACAGGTATGCAGGTAGAAAGAGTCCTGCTTCCTGGCTGTCACTTTTGAGCAATAGGACAATGGGAACATTATATATTTTTTCCAATCCATGCCACACACACTATAGTGTCAGAATTAGGCACAACTGCATCAACTTGGAATTGAGAACTCTTCTTCATTCTTGTTCCTTTTGCAGATGGTGGTCAAGTTCTCTGAGTGTGAGGCCATGGACTCAGAGGCTCTTGTGCACTGTCTGAGAGGCAAGAGTGAAGCAGAGATTCTGGATACTAACAAGGTAGGGAGAATTGTGTATCTGGCACAACCTGGTCTACATGATGTGAGGTTCTGAACCATATACCCCATCTTTATCACTTTGTGTTCTTTCAGTTCTGTGTGCAAAATGAATATCAAGATTGGCTAGTCCAAGTGTAGATTCTCCTCCAGGGTGAGCAGATCACCCTGAAACTTGTGAGAAATGAGAAAAAGGTGGAGCTGACTCAGTGGATATCAGGATATTTATATCATTAACCTTCAGCATTGACTTATAATGCTTTACAGGTCTTCTTTCTGATCCCTCCTGTGGTGTATGGAGAGTTCCTATCCAGGCATCCCAAAGACTTGTTTGCATCTGAGGATTTTCACCCTGTCTCCAGCATTATTGGTACCTTACTGGCCCATGCTGAACCAAAATGAGCAGTATCTACAGCTGAACACCCAGGCTGCTGTGGGCCGAACCCTGAAGGCCAGAAGGCTGCAGTTCTGGACCAAGACTCTACCCCACAAGATTCAAGAGTTAAATAGATCTAAAAATATGCACAAAGTTATGTAGTACCCTTTGTGAGGAATGTTGTGTGAGGTTGACTGCTGAGGGAGCCAGCTTCAGTTTCCCAGAACATATTGATACCTGAGTTGATTCTAATATTCACAAAATCTCCATACTTGTCTGTTTTTCTTATTTATCACAAATTCTCTGCATGTGACTCTTTATCAATCCAGGTCATCTTTGGTTGGACCCACTTGATAAATGCTCCCATAACCATGGACTTGTGAACCCCACAATGCTCCATCTCCTTTCAGAGTTCACTAGAATTAGACCCTTTTATCCTTGCTTGCTTAATCTCTTGTCCTCATTCTGTCCTCTTCTCTATGAACTCTTTTAGTGTGGGGCCAGCGATGGGTGGGACTGTGGCAGCCAGCCTAAAGTAAGAGTAGTTTGAAGTATCTTCAAACCCCAGGAATTTCTTCCTGAGTTTAGAAGAAGTAGGACTGCTCCCCCCTACCCTGGGGCCTTATGAGGTCATGTCCTGCAGCACCTGGAATTCCTCCTTATGTACCCATGTCACAGCCTATGATGTACTCTCCAGTGCTTCAATTACCCTTTGTTCCCTCCTGTTAAATCAAGCTATCTCACCAAAGCTGTCTCCTGAGATTTTGTTCCAGACATAGTCATGCTGCCTGAGGTTCTCCCTCCCACATATATGTGAAGGACATGTAGCTGCTGCCCTCCTGAGAGCCTTATAGTACATCATACTCGACTCTGGACTCTTGCTGGTTAATGCGTTTATACTAATCCTTGTCCATAGACTTCTCCTATGGTGCCAGAGACCACTTGGTACAATCTGAGTCTGAAAACTGTTTATATTTGTTTCTCACTGTGAAACTGAGAGATAACTTTTCACATTATCTGATCTTTGACTAGGGGACTGGCAAAGTTGTTCTATTAGAAGCCTCAGTTATGTATCTAAAAATGCACAACACACTGCACATCATAGACAGAAAACTTCTATGGGGTTGAGAAGAAGGAAGCATTTCATTTGGGCTCAGAGCTCAAAGCATGCTTTTACCCCTGGCCTCAAATCATCTGGGTCCCAGAACTTACATGGCAGGGTGGGATGTCCCATCTCTCACACCACTCCATGGTTCAGGGTCCTCAGGAGATGCAAAGCACAGTGGTCCTACAGGAGGCATGGCAAAGGGAATTCCCAGAAAGGTGTGGAGAGCTGTTAGTGCCTTTAACATGGACACGGTTGCATCTCTCTCAGCCCATGTGTGTATTCCTGATGGGGCTGGCTGAGTCCTGGCCTGTGGGTGGAGATGACATCATGGTTATTTTTGCCCAGGCAGTTGCCACTATGTAGTTGATTCCCACCTCGGTTTTGCTAGTGTCCATGGGGAAGGGAATCTGGGCTGTGTAGGCTCAGGTGTAGGATGTGGGGATAGGAATTTCTTTATACCCCTCAAGCCACAAACACTGCTCATACTCCTTTTGAATGGCAACAGGGCATGTCTCTGGATAAGGAGACATACTCAGAGCCCCTTGGCAGCATAGATGTATTATTTTCATTATCACTCAAATGTCTGTAGCAGCTACAGTCACACATGGAGGAAGGAAATGTCCCCTTTGCTCTCTTTCCTCTAACCTGCAGGTGCAGCGCTCCTTAGATCTTCTTACACTGGAGTGGCTTTTTGGTATGAGGTATCCTTAGGCATCACTGACCCTCTATGAGATGCAGGGCTCACTCTGCGAGCTTTGGTGAAGGCGTTGGGAGCCACACATTTCCCACCCTTTTATCTGCCATCTTTACCAGGTTTTCCCACCCTGGTGGCTTCCTTCTCACTAGGTAAGCCGATGACTCTGAGGAACTGAGCAGCTCTGACCCCATTCCTCATTGCTGATTGAAGGACTCTCACCTTGCACATGCAGAATGAGAAGCAGGACCCCACAGGCCACAGCATTCAGACATCCAGGAAGTTTGTACAGTGTCATGGTCAGCTCTTAGATCTGAGTCTGTGTTGCCCCAGGATAGCTGTATGCCATGGACAGGAAACAAAAGATACAAGACTTGCCTAGGCAGGAATTTGGACCTAAAATAAAGTAGGCAGGAAATTCACTAGGATGGGGCAAAGTTCATATTGCCAAAGAAGAGCAGGCCAGCAAGAAGCCAAAGCAATCATTGTTCCTGCTCTTTGGCCTCCTAGAAAGGTATATCATGGCATCTGAAGTCCATCTGTAATACCAGGAGTCTTGTATTTGAACCTAAATCAATTTAAACAATGATCACTGTCCTTGTACTCACTGGCCAGATGTTGGTGTTGTCCTGGAGTCCAGGGACAAGAATCTAGAACAGGGAAATCCTGGAGGGCTTCTTCAAGTAGGTATATATTCAAGATATCAGAGAAAGAGAGAGAGAGAGAGAGAGAGAGAGAGAGAGAGAGAGAGAGAGAGAGAGGAGAGAGAGAGCACTCAGAATGTGACCATTACAATGATCTTAGGTTAGGTTCTACATGAACCCCTCCACATGTGGCCTGGCTATTTCACTGAATCACTGCAATGCTGGCACTTTGCAAGTCACATTCCTTATTCACTCCACCTCTGTAGTATGTGTTTCCTCTTTTAGCCAGCTCCTGCTGGAATCAGCTTTCATAGTTCTTTATCCACTTGCACTTGAACACTACTAATTTTTTCCCATTTCTTGCTTTATTGTGCATGATGTTTATATGGATGTGTGAATGCCATGGCACACGTGTGAAATGCAACTTCCGCCAGTCAAGTCTTTCCACTGTGTGGATTTGGGGGACCCACTTCAGGTCTCCCATCTTTTGAAAGTGCCTTTGCACACCGTGCCATCTTCTGGGCTCCACTTAACAAACATTTAATCGGGTCCTGTTCATCCAACACTGAGCTCTTAGTGTCTGAGCTCTCAGAGTCTATGATAAAGTCAAAGGTACAGGTCTATACTGGGAGTTTAATAATCACAAAGAACTCTGGCAGAACACACCAAAGACTACAGGATTAGGAGCTTCCACAGTGCCCAGCTGATCTCTCAGAGGATGTGATACAGGGTTCCAAGAAAGCCTGTAGTCTGAGAATTTGCCTTCGTTCTGTATTTCCAGATCCTGATAATCTATGGACCTAGCACTGCAAAACTACATCCTTAAGGCTTTTCTGTCCCTCCAATCATGACACAGCCAAGGCTTTCTCTATTAATGCTTGCTATTGTTTTAGTGGAGTGATTGTAATACACTCCTGTCCAGTTTTTTGTCCCAGCCCTCACTAACTGCTCCTCTCTCTCCTCTCAGTTCCTTGAGCAAAGGAACTGATGGGTTGTAGGACTGTGAGGTCATCTTCAGTTGCTCCTTTCTCAGAGTCAAGGAATCAGCATTTTCAAGTTTCCAGGGCTTTCTGGTGTTTGCTCTTAATACAAGACTTTCTCAGCTCGGCTGGTGTAGTGGATTGAAAGAGGATGGCCTCTACAGACTCATGTATTTGAAGGTTTGCTTTCATGTCAGTGGACTGTTTCAGAGGAATTAGGAGGTGTGCTCTTGTCGAAGTGTTGCAGTAATTATTTTAAAAGTGGGGCTTCGCAGGCCAACCATTTAAGCTGTGGTTGCTCTGCCAAGCTCAGCCGCCATGTTCCTCGGCCCTGAGGCCACGTGTGCACCGCAGCTAGAAATAGCCAGCCAGAAACACCAGCCCTGCCACCCACGAGACAGCATGGGAGATGGCTCTGTCAATCTTCCATTCTGTCTCGAAAGGCTGAGCATTGCCCAGACAATCCTGCCAACCATGTGGGCCCGGTAGAAAAATGAGACTCTAATGCTTAAAGATTAATCAAAGGCTTTATATGTTTAGTAATGCTCAGTAACAGTATGCCCATACAATTAGAGTTGTTTCCCAATTAGCTAAACTAAATATAGTTGTTACCCACGACTGCTCTCTATACCTGTGTGGTTCTCCATCCTCCTACATCTCTGGTCTCTCTAGCCCCTCCTCTTCCTTTCCCTCTTCCTCACCTTACTCCTCCCACCTTAGTTCCTCCTACACTGAAGGAGGTTTGTCACTGGGGGTGGGATTTGAAGTTGAAAAACCCATACCAGGCCCAGGCTAACTCT